TCTCTCTCTCTCTCTCTCTCTCTCTCTCTCTCTCTCTGTCTCTCTCTCTCTGTCTCTGTCTCTCTCTGTCTCTCTCTGTCTCTCTCTCTCTCTCTCTCTCTCAACACTCCATTTTTCCTAAACCTATCTATTTTAAGTTTCATACTAATTCTATATCCCTTGATCTTCCTCCATTCTCCCATAATAATAATATTCCTAATTGAATTTCCTTGGAGCATCAGGAACTGGGTTTCCTGCTGAGGTTGAAGAGCCGACTGAAATCTCTGTTTGACAATGTTTCTTGCCATCCACAGAGCCCACATGCCCATTGCTCTGGAGATCCAGGTGGGGTATGGGGAAACTGCGATATTATGCTTATCAGCCTTATCTCCTTTCACCACAGCCTCTTTGTCCCAGCGAGAGTCAGTACAGTCATTGGGATAGGCTAGTGACCAATTTGTTTTCCACCATGACCAACAACCTTTGAGCCCGTGGGCAGTAGCACCATATATGGCAAATCTCTTCCATGTGACTCTGACCACAGGAAGCACAGAAGAGCCAAACCTGCATTCCTTTAATTGCCCCCACACCACTTGCCAGAGGGAACACACAGCATGCGGATAATCCACAATAAACCTGTCAGCTCTACCTCAGGTATTGCCCTGATGGATTTACCAAAGGGACAGCAGCAATCGAAGTGTAGTGACGGAAAACCTTGGACCTGGGAGAAACTATCCCAGTTAGCGTTAACTGAGCAGGATAGCCGATTCGCCTTGGACAGAATTCTGTAACCTGCGAATCCAATATTGTGCAATCGAGTAAAGGAGTATCATTCTCGTCGAGAGCGGCCTGTTTCCATCCTACAGCTAATGGATGGCCTTTTGCTCTGAGTAATGGTAAACTGTTGAGGCCCTTGAGGGCCTTGAGGCACAACTTTGATTCTCAACTTATCCTTGCCATTAACTGTTTGTTTCGTCGCCTTTACAATGATCTGAGTGTAATCTCCCCGAGCATGCTAGTGGTGTCTGCTCCTAACAGCACCCCTAGCATTCACTTGGGCTGTTTTTTTTATAAAAAAAAAAAAAAAAAAAAAAAGATCTGAGTGTAATCTTCTGTGTCCACTATTTCTTTCGAGTTCTCGACCTTTTTTTTTTTTTTTTTTTTTTTTTCCCACCTCAGTCAAGGTGCCTTGCAAATTACTTTTCCAAGTTACTGCCCATTGTCCAACGCTTCCGATATACGGAAGACCAGAACCCTCATTCCCTTTCTTTTTTTTTTTTTTCTTTTTTTTTTTTTGGACCATTTCTCGATTTATGCCTGTCATCCTTGAGTGTGCAGGGGCCATGCTAATCTTCATTCTCTGTATCGTCCCAATTTTAACGGATGTCCCGAAGGACACCCTCATTCCCTTTCTCAGTCAACCAGATTCCTATCTTTGGTCCATTGCATTCCAGGAGGTGCTTCCATCCAGGGGGGATAGCATCAATGAGTCAATGACCATCCTGAGGTCTCGTTCAACATTATGCAAGTTTTCCAGAGACGCGCTTAATTCTTCAGCACTTTCCCAACGCTTATGGCCTACGTCCCATATATGGCTGATATGTGATATCGCTCTGCAAACCCAGGCTTTCCAACAGAAAGAATAAGTATTAAGAAATAGTAACTATATTACCTTCTTTTTCCCTAATTGTTGTGTAATCAAAGATTTTAAAAAAAAGTAATAAAAAAAAATGACACTACCGAGAGTAAAGCCTCACATTTTGTGCTAAGTGTATTGAGTATTTTCATACAGCTTGTCTTGAGCATACGGGCGATAATACCCGTGTTGGTCGATAAGCAGCCCTCGTATGGACTCGTTCCATTATGAGGTTTCTTCGTGTGTCTTTCTTGCAGGTATCGTAGCAGCGCGACGTTGTTCCCAAGTTGGCGCGCGGTTATTCCTCCATTCTTCAGGCGAGGATTTTTCTTTCCGTTTCGTTTCAGTTTAACGTACGTCATTGGCGACACTCCGAGCGGCGCGACTGGACGGGCATTTTCATTCTTCCATTTTTCAGGCCTTGAATTCTTTCTTTTCGTTTATATCCTGTTTAAGTTTACTCCATTGACGACACTCCTCGCTGGCACTTTTATCTGTTTACCTGTCTACAGCTAGGCTATTGGTAATCCTACGATACAATCTGCGACTTGCATACTCACTTTTGAGTTTCTTCTTTCACCGTTCCTTACGGGATTGCGAGCTCCTATGGTTTAGCCTATCGTTTGTAGTACTGCATCACGTTTACGGCCGCGAACTGCCGTTTTCATCTTTTCATTTCATATTTTCAGCTCACCTTACTGTTTTGATTCTTAGTCGCGTAAGACGAATCCGTCACCCATTTTCGATTTTGGGGATTCCTTTTAATATTTACTTCTCGTGCGCGGATATACAGGGCGGTAACAACGTGCGATTCACGGTGATCACCACCAAGCTCGGCTTCAAATTCAGAACATGGGGCATTCACGGACGAGATCAAGATCTAGGTCACCAACTCGAAGGAGTAAGAAGGATGATTCGCGGCGTGGGAGATCTCCTGCTCGTGGGACTGAGCGCTCGCCGGACCGGTCCAGCGATGACAAGTCACGGAGACGTGAGAAACGTAGATCGAGGTCTTCTTCCACCTCAAGTAGGCGACGAAAACGCAGTTCATCTAGAGATCGAGGGAGAAACGACTGGGATGATGATCGCCGAGGCGAGTTCCCATACAACAAGCCGGCACCGGGAAATAGAGCTTGGTTTACAGTTGAGCTTCGTGACGAGATGTACGCCTTGCGCCGAGAGCTTGACCGTCTGAGAAAGAGGGTAGGTAAGCTCTCTAACGAGTTTCGAGCGCATGCGTCTGAAAAACCTGCCGACGCAATCACCACTGACATGCTGAAGCAGGCGGTTGAGAAAGCAGTATTGGAGGCGATGTCTGAATTTGGGATTCTTGGGAAGAAGAAATCTGATATCGGAACGGACCAGACGAGACTTAAAGCACAAACCAAGGCTGATGAAGCAGCAAGGATGGCCACTCTCAAGAGGCAGCTTGAAGATATGGAGCTTCGGTATGATCTGGCCAACCTCCAAGGTCAGATCAACTCTTACAAGTCTCTCCTCACCAAGCCATTCACATCTCCGAAGCCGAGAGCCCCATTGACCAAGACTCCGAAGCGGACACCTAACACCATCGGTGCTGGTCCGAGTGGTGTGCAGAAGTCGGTGATCAAGAAAGGTGTTGGTAGGCATCCGAATGGCGTGCGTATCTCAGCAAGGAGACAGATACTTGAAGGAAGGCAGCTATCGGAGAGTATGCTTAGTGCGCTACAAATGGACGACCTCAAGAAGCTCTGCGCGAAGTACAACGTGCGGTAGAAAGGAATTCCGCAAGCTCGTGTTGCTTTAAGGAAGATCCCCATGCTCATCGTCGACATCACCGAGGATCTCACTGAGTACGCAGAGCAGGGCGATGAAGTTCAGGGTAAGGAGACAATTCCCGAGCCCACTGAAGCTTCGAACACGACTTTGTCGGAAGAGGAAGAGGAGGAGGTCGACCAGTCAGATGAGGGCGCTGATTCTGTCGATGTTGAACCATCGAAGGACGTACACCGATCGAGCCACTAGGTTTAACTTGGTCGTCGTTCTCTGGTTTCACCGAGGATGTACTATGGAACTTTCTACAGTGCTGTAGTAGTTCTCTTGCGGTACTTGTCAATCGTAAGCAGTGGAAGGACTGTCGTGTTGTTAACCGTGCATTCTGGATTTGCATGATCGCTTTGCTACGCAGATCCCAGATCTCATGGGGCAGATGGATCGGGGAATTGATTAACCATCTCCATACTGACATATATGTGCTCATTCAGTGCAGAGTCTGCGTGTACATCTGGATCTCTCCATGGTGTCGACATATTTATATAGGTAAGACAATTAGGGGAATCGATACCCGATGGAGAGAACATGCTACTGCTGCGATCCGAAAGGAAAAGAGGCAGCACCGGAAGCTCTACTCGTGGATCTATAAATTCGGAGTTCACCGATATGTGTGCATTCCAATTTGGGTTGGGAGTACGACTGATGTCGCACACGTGGAAAGGAAACTCATCCAAAAATGGAATCCTTCTCTGAACACACTTCACAGATTCAAGACTAATGGGAAAGAACGACTAAGGAAGAAACGAAGAAGCCGCCGGAATCACCAACGAACATGTCTGAGTCTTCCTATCCTGTTTGAGTCTGGTAATCTGTGTACCACGAAACTTTCGGATCTCATTAACCCCATGTTGTGATTCAATCTTTGCCTGGTAATCTGTGGATTGAGGCGTGGAAAGTAATTAAGCGTCGATTTGGTGAGAGCATAATTACTTTGGATGGTATAAAAACTATCAGATTGTGTTGAATATATGAGTAAACATAATAGGATCAGGAGAAAGCTTCTTTCACTCCTTCGTGCACCATGGACTAGAGCTAAGCTATACTATTGCTCATTAACCCGCCTTATCGATCTCTACTCCGACATGCGTACGATTGTATCAAAGAAGTGCAGGGGTATCCTACGGTGTTGTCTATCGAGAACAACAATCAGAAGATTTGGTGTGAATATAAGGAAAAGATCAATACTAAGAGTTCCTTTCTCTGTTGATGTCGATATCGCTAAAGTACGGCACCTTCTGCAGCGGACCATACTTTCGAATATCACTCACGAGTCACTGGCTAAGACTCTTGTGAAGCGATCCAAGAGTTTTTTTTGCCAAATCCAAGACTATCGGGGATCTCTTACATAATCACAGAAGGATGGTTACCACCAAACCTCGTTGTCCCTGCGCTTACTTTGATTACCCGAAGGTGGACGGACACGTCTCCTTCAGGCTATCTGACTACGTGTCTGACACAGTGATCTGTAACTCTAAGAATGTTCCCTACTTCCACGGTGAGGACAGCAAGACAGCTATTAAACAATCTGTGTCACGTCTGAATGCTTGTCTACCAAAGAAGTATTCCATAACACCTCCTCTGATACACACCACCGACGACTGCGTCGTAAAGAAAGAATGTAGTAATCAAGGGGTGAGTATCTCGACTGTTTTGAGTTGGAAAAGGAAAACGAGGGCCTTTATCCGATGTCCTTTGGACCGAAATCCGGGCGAAACCTTTGTGGAATGCCCAATGGTGTTTTGGGACCGGATGCATCAGATGTTTTTGGCAGTAAGGAACTATGAAGTCATTGACTCTACTATGGAGGACATTTTGGACAAAAACCGGATCACGTATAAGGATCTGGGTTGACAAAATTCGCCCCATGGAAGATTCAAGGAAGATATGGGCATGCTTACGTCATGCCTAAACATAAAGATATCACTAAAAGAAGACCAATTGTCAGGACCTTTGATGAACCTTCTTTGCAAGCATCTAAACTACTGTCGAGATGCGTAAATTTCTTGACCAGACAGTCAAAACACGGTTTTGGAATGCTAGGTACTAATGAGCTGGTCTCACACATTGATGGAATTAACCAACAGGTTGTTGATCTATTCCAAGACCAAGCGGCTGTCCTTTACAACACTTTTGACGTCAAGGATATGCTCACCTGTCTGGATCATGCGCACAGTCTCAGAGTTGCGGACTGGCTGGTCTGTCAGTACCTGGCAAAGAAAATTACTCAAGTCTGCCTGAAAATGCAAGGGAATAAGATTCATATGGGTAAGGCTAAAGAACAGTGGGGCTGGAAGACTATCAAGATTCCTGACTTACCGCGACTCTTGCAATTTGACATCTCACACGCCTATTTCATGGTACACGGACAACTGCTGAAGCAAGTGCTTGGGATACCAATGGGTAAAGGCTCGAATCCTGCCATAGCAAATCTGGTTTGCAACTTTGATGAATTTTACTGGGTCAAATCACTCGGAGCAGATGAAAAATTTATTCATGGGTCTAGATTTGTTGATGACGTCTTCCTTGTTGCAATCTACGAGAAGAGCCAGCCACAAAAGGCACAGGCCCTACTCCGGCGAATTTCAGACTGTTACCATTCGACCTTGAAGCTTGAAATTATTGCCACTGATTCTAAGGACACGGTAAAGTTCCTTGAGACTTCCATCTGTAAGCAAGACAAAGGACCCCTCCTGAAGTGTTTGCATCGTTTGAAAAATCTAGATTCACTCCGGGAGGGGTTTTCTGAGCGTTTTCATAGTACGATCAAACACTTCCTGAGTTTTGGTCCAGTTAAGGGTAAAGCATTAACCTTACTCGGGACTCTACACCGTATCCTTTCCAACACAACGGTCGAGCAGGATGCAATCCCGATGATCAAGTTATTTTTTACAGAGGCTCTTCTACTGCGGTACCCGATGAAGCTGCTGAGACAGTCGTTCTTGGCTATCCGTCGGACCAGGATGCAGAGACGAACGGCCAGAGCCATTCTGACATGGCTTAACAAGTTCACTAATTAGATCCCGAGCTCGGGACAAAGAGATTTTTTGTAACTGTTTTTGGTATCTGTCGGCACACGGGATTGTTGCGACGGCTGGTACTTAGATTAAAATTTATTTTTGAACTTGGCCTTTTTTTACCACTGTTTTTTGTCGGCGAATAAATATTTGTAGCAAAGGACGAACTTATAGGCACTCCCTGCCACCGGCTGCCACCGGCAGTTGGAGTAATTTTTTTTTTGAAAAATTTGGGACCACTTGACGGCTAGAAAGGAACTTTCTACGTTCCTCACAACGAGCAGGACGATCTGAGGAGGGAGGAAGTCCGTTGGCGACCGTCTGAGGATCTCGTAGTACTTAGAGTTGAGGCTGCAAAGACACAATTTAAGCTGAGTGTGCGAGAGCATCATTGCCTGAGTGGACGAGGCAGAAGGGCGATGCAGGTTGCACACGTGTAACCTTCTTCTTCYTATTTGGCACATTATGTCCTCCTCGAGAGTAAAGCCTCACATTTTGAGCTAAGTGTATTGAGTACCTTCTTTGTCCCTAATTGTTGTGTTAATAATCAAAGATTAAAAAAATAAAAATAAAAAAAATTGACATAGTACCTCTTCTGCAGTTCCTGGCCACTTGATTGTTGACAGAAACAGATAGCGCCAAGCCTTCAGCATAGGAACCCACATTTTAGACTTGATCTTCCTGTTCAAGAAACCTTTGAAGTTTGAATTCATGAAAAGACAGGCCCATACAGTTTCCGGATGGCTGAGATTTCATTCCTCCATTTAGGTGAACTGAGCCATTTTTTTTTTATTTTTTTTTTCTTCATGAAATCTGATCCAAGGTCTATTTGATTCTAGTAGGAAGGCTCGAATGATCCATTTGATCAGGAGAGCTCTGTTCTGAGCAAAAAGGTCTAGGAACTCCCAAGCCCCCATCGTTCCTCTTCTGAGTGACTTTCCACCAACTAAATTTTCAAAGTGCCTTACCGTTCTCAACAGTCCCTTTTTTTTTTTTTTTTTTTTTTTTTGGGACAATGTGCCAATCTATTCATGGGGAGCCGCACGTGCTGGGAACCGGGCCCAGAGTCCCATTAGTCCACAAGTAACTTGTGACTTGTTGTATGAGTCTCCGTTCCGTGCCTGTCGAGAGAGCCACTATGGACAGGATATACCAAATGATTAAAAGAATCGTGAAGTTAATGACAATAGCTCTTCCGAAAAGTGAAACAAACCAGATCTTAAAAATTCTAGACATTTATCTCTCTCTGAGATGTACGTGACAAGCAAGCGAGATCTTTGACCAAGTAGTGTGAGGCGTTTCGTGATTCTATCTTATATTATCAGGTTCTGTTTATTATCTTTATTTCCATAAAAAACTTAAAAAAGTTTTATCCCAGGAATCGTTCTGAGTGCTTTCCGTCTTTCGTGATTTTATCTTCTATTATCTGGTTCTGTTTATTATCTTTATTTCCAAAGAAACGTTTTGTCCCAGGAATCGTTTTAAGTGCTTTCTGTCTTTCACTTCAATGCCTAGATTAATCGCTAGCGGCAAGTCATCTCTTCAATTCTCTTGTCAGAGTGGTAGACTTTTCCCAGCTCACTTTGGCTTCCGAAACCTTACAAAACAGGGTTAACGAATCTCTTCCCGCACAGAGGGACTGCTTTGTATTTTCAGAGATTACAGCCAGATCATCAGCCAGAGTTGAGGTCTGTAGTTGGTAGTGTTCCAAAAGGCGGAGACCTTTAGCTTGGGAATTACGAATCAGATCCAGCAATTTGAAATTACATCAAAAGAAAGATATACAAGAAACAATTCAAAATGTTGTCTTCAACTGCCTGGGGGGAACTCAAGGGAAGGGCCTGGGTAAGGTGGAATGGCCAGGTGGGGAAGGGATGGAGGAATCTCTCAAGACGATCTTCCATCTCCGTTTTAGGGACTGGTTCACGCTGCAGCCAGGATCTTCCCTTAGGTCTCCAAATTGTTTTGCAGATCCCTTTCCTCCCTCACAACTTTCTATGGTTGATTTGCA